CCCCCCCCCCCCCGCCCCATAGCTCATCTCTCAGAACTGAGGCTACTTGACGCATCTTTCTGAATCACGTAAGAAGTCCTGGTGGCACAAATGAAGTAGTGCCTTCGGAAATGGAAAAATCTTGTGGAAGGCAGGATGTTCTCCTGGGTGAGTCCCCAGAGTGACTCAGGACATTCAGGCTCGTTTCCAAAGCTCACTGCCTGACCTTGGGCACATCGCTTTGTTCTCTGCTTCTAAAGAGAAGATCCTTAAAAAAGGAAAGAAGATTCTTATAAAGGGAAAGCAAATGGTTTAAGTGTGCATCAAGAATAACCTTATATAATTACATGTATTAAACTTGCATACAGTTCTCTTCAAGATGAAGCGCTTGGGTTATAAATTCTTGGATTACTGTCTTGCGCGAGGGAACCTCATCTTCACGTAAACTGCTTGGGTTTAGCTGTAGAAGTCCTGAATAAGAACAAAACAGCAGAGTTAGAAGCAGCTCTGTTGATGTGTGTATAGCTAGGAGGGACCCCTGGGGTCACAACATGCACTCTGCTTGAAGGTGCTTTTGGCTTATTTGACAAAGCATCCTTTATTTCACAAATGTAGTGCATATCTCTGCAGAAGTGCTGCTTGTGGGGTCGTTGTTTCTTGGCTGGGGTAGAAGAGGATGTAGAAGCAAAGACTTTGAGACATTAGGTGGTAGGTATTATTAAATTGGTTAATTTAATTTAGAACTTGGTTATTACGAAAAATGTCAGGTCACACTGTCAAATGTGAAACAGCCCTATCTATTTCTCTCTAGAGAAAATGAAAATCAGATTTAATTTAGATTTTTATTTAGTTTAATGTCAAAAGGCTACCCTAACCTTCCACAACACAAACTCCTTTGGCAAGACCTGTGTTCAAAAACTGCCCGAGTAAACGAGCGCACCCAGCAGCAGGCTTTCTGTAAGAGTAAATGGGTGAGCAGAATTCAAAGGCCCAGCTTTCCAGTCTCTGGCCACCAGCAGGAAGAAATGCAGGGACTGTTAGGTCATCATGCAGATGATCTCAAGGGCAGTGGCAAACGTCGTTCATGGTCTGCACCTTGGGCAGACGATAGAGAAAGAGCTAGGGCGAGTCAAAGGCACGGATTTGCAAGATTAGCAGTAAAATAATGATGGAGCTGCTGTCTCACTGCATTCATCTGCTGTGCTTGGGGGGAGGATTGGAGCATTTGTTGAATCAGCTTATATTAAAAATAAAACATGAAGTGAATAATAGATCAGTCAATCTGCATATGGTATTAACCAACTGAAGAGTTCATTAGGAATAAAACACACAATGATATTGAAGATAAGACAGAACTCTGGCCAGATAAAATCACACCTCATTAACCTTTTGGATGTTCCGTACATACCAACGTAAAAGCTACAACACAAGTTGAAAAGCTTGTGTCACGCTGGTGTTGAAGGAAACCTTTGAATCAGACCTTCACAGGAAACACAGAGCTGAGAGCCTGTGGTTCAGATGCACAGCAGTGTTACACATCAGGGAATGACTAAGATTTTTTTTTAAAAAACCATTATTTTGGTTAAGCTGTTCTGCATAACCAGATGGTAGAAGGAAAAAGAAGAAACAAGTCAAACGGAGGAGTTTTCTTCCAGACATCTTGTCTCTTGAGTTTCTGCAAGAGATGGAAGGCAATTATACCCTTCTAGTGATTAAGTTATTGGGATATTTGCAGTGGCTTAACAAGTAGTTAGAATTAGCATTTAACTATTCTTTCTTAAATCTAACGTATCTAACTATCAAAATGCTTTCTTTCAGTGTGCGCTGTAGGGACTGAAGTGTCATTTAAAGTGGGTAAAATCTATAGCTTTTTTGCCAACTTCATCTCATTTAAGGTATCAGGATTGTGTTTCAGTGGATCACAGCCAATACATTTATAGTTCATGCCAGCTTTCAGCCTGGCACCCACTTCACCCATTGAGTATGTTAAAAGTTAATTCCACACAGGAAATAAATACATGCTTGTATGAATTAAATATCCTTGGAGACTGTCTAGTGCCCAGGAGTGGGTGTCATTGCCACATGGAAAAAAGGTCTCTTGAGAGTTGTGTCCTGGTTGCGAAGCTGATGGCTGCTGGGGCCTGGTTGTAGAGTTTTATTAGGGGACTTTACAGAGAACCTCCCAGAAAGGAGGAAATGAATGTGCTCATCAGGAAATTGCTTTTCTGGGAGATGGCCTAATCACTCATATTGCAGAGAGGCTGGCTGCCTGTTGCGGTCTCTCGGCATCGCCATCACGATGCGTGCCTGCAGTGTGCCAGTGGGGCAGTCTGAAATACAGGGACAGTGTGTCTGCTGGGCTATACAGAGTGTGAGCAATTGGTAACCTTCAGGGGTTTGTAACTCCGCCAAGCCTGGGAATGTGCCTGGGAGAATACCAAATAGCTCCTGCAAGCCAGGGCTGCGTCCTTGCCCCTGTGACAGCCTCCTCCAAACGATGGTGGATTGCAGACTGGTTTAAAAGCAAATATCTCATGCCTCTGCTGTCTCTTCAGCTTGGGTGTAACACATGAAGACTGCATCCTTTTTTTTTTCCTCCCCAGGAACCCAGCTTTAATCCAAAATCTCCTCTCTTTTGCTTTCACGCAGGGATCTACCGCACAGAAAAGGACAAAGGCACATTGTATGAGCTGACTTTCAAGGGAGACGTGAAGCATCAGTTCAAGAAGATTGTTTTATTCCGGCCATTCGGTCCTGTAATGAAAGTGAAAAATGAAGATGTCGATATGGCTGACACGCTTATTAACGTCATTGTGCCTTTGGCCAAGAGAGCCAGCAAATTTCGGCAATTCATGCAGAATTTCAGGTGGGTTTCCGTTCCAGTGCCGCCTGTGCTTTTTCTTTCTTGGAAAGTAAGGTGCAGTTTCAGGAGTTATCAAGGTCTTGCTCAGTAGAACTCATGCTAATTTTGCATAAGCCACATTGTGCCACTAAGTTATTTTTGAGATTATAGAGGCTGAAAGGCATTTGGCTGCTAAATGCACTGTGATTAGCAGTAAAAGCAGTTACAGTCCAGTCATCGGAGTTTCTGATTTGCTTGTACCAGGCTTATGTGTCTCAAATCTGTCTTGTTGGGGCACACATGACTCTGGCAACATGGGAATTTCATACCAGTAATTGCAAAAGAACCTTTCTAAGGAAAAAGGGTGCTGCCAGAAGCTTTCCCTATTCCTATGAGAGGAAAGATTAAGGCAGTAAGAGGCAAGAAAGAAGTTTATTTGAACTTTCAGGATAGTTACTTCTAAGCTTGTTTCATTTTTCAGCACAGAGATGTAGCTTTAAATAGCTGCCCAGAAAAGACTCTGTTAGCAACAGATACTGACTCTTAAATGTGATTTGTTTTGCCTAATTGCAGCCATCTAAAAATAGGCTCCTTGTCTAAATTAGCCATCTGATAGATGCTTGTTTTACAGTGGGAGAAATCACCCTCTGGTCACGCTGATCTCTGCTGATTAGAGATGAATTCTTGCTGACTAAACTTACTGCAAGCGAGGTAGATGAATTCTTGCTGACTAAACTTAGTGCAAGCGAGGCGTGATGTCTAGCATTGGTTCAGATTGGTCCTACCCTTAGGCTACTGGCTTGATATTATTCTCTGCTTGTTATTTAGATTTTAGTAAACGTTTCTTAACAAGATGCCAGAGTTCTGAATTCTGGAATGTAACGCCAAGGATCTGAACTCTGCAATATCTGTTACAGAAAAATCAAGGTTAAGAGGTAGAAAGGTAGCGTGTGTATGGCTTCTTTAAAATTCCCCTTCTCAGATTTTCCTAAGTGCTGGAGTCACTGCCGTCCTGATCATTCTTCCTATGGTTGGATGGCCTGTGTTAAGTGTCCTATTAATATAACAAACGCTGCTTAGAGAGTTTCTCCCTAATCTGCCTGAAAGATAATCTTCAGTCTAAGAGACAATGAGTCCCTTGTCGGGACAAGGATCTCTGTCTGTGAAGGTGTCCACAGGAA